GAATCATACCACAGTGATATATGTGTGCCCATGTTCATAGCAGCACAATTTGTAATAGCTAAAACTTGGAAACAGCCCAAATGGCCATCAACTGGAGACTGGATAAAGAAAATGTGGGTTTTTTTGTATGATCCCATTTTTGAAAATTGGTAGATCCATAAAATTTGTGAAAAGACTTTACATCACATTCCTAATCAAGATTAATTTCAAGGTGGTATACTTACTTGCATTCTTCTTTTTCTTTTTTGAGTTGGTTAAGTTTCAAAATTTGCACATAGAATTTTTCCCATTTTTTTAAATAAAGTTGATGAAAGAATTAAATATTTTATTTACCTTTTAATGCTTCTACTTTTTCAGACTTTCCTTTATACTCCTTCTTAACATTTCTGATTCTGTAATAATATAGGGGTGCTTACTTAGTCAACATAGAGGTAAAAATAGCATAGATCATGAATATGCCTAGTTATAGTGATAGATACAAATCAATCACTTTAGTAATGATGACATAAGCAGACTACTTAACAGGACAAATACTTATTTTCAGTTCATCCTTTCTCCTGAGATAGAAAAATAAAAGAATTTCTAGAAATTTAATGTTAAAATACCAACATTTAGGTTTTAAAATGTAGAAAAATACTTTGCAATATCATTTTTTCCTCTAATTTTAGGAACATTTGAAGTTCTTTCTTCTAATCATAGAATCATCAACCATCATTTCCTTTTCCCCCTAACCTTGTTCATTAGTCAAACCCTCAGCCCCTTGTATTTTCTATAACATTCCAACAGCTTCTTTCGAACTCTATGCTTTGGAGACAATTGAATTTTTCACCTTTCTTTACATAGTTCTCAAAATAAAATATAAATCTAGCACCTCCACTTTCTTACCTTTCTTTTCTTCCTTACTTTCACTCTAATCTCTGAACCAAACACTCTAGTGAACCTCTTCATACTTAAATCATTAGTTGCTTCCAAATTATCAAATGAAACAAATGCTTTTCCATCCTTGCTTTATTGGATTGAGTCACTATTGGTGACTTTCTCTTTTTTAAAGTGTCTACATTCCACTTGATTGGTTTTTTTCTGTTTTCCATATGTTCATTCTCTGTTTCCTAGTAAGATCCTCTTCTTTCACTAGACACACCATGTTTTGTTCTACAGAGTTCTCCATGTACATTATGGATCTAGGCTTCTCATTCTAGGCTCTCTCTCTCTCTCTCTCTCTCTCTCTCTCTCTC